AATGTACACTTAAGTTATAGCGAATTCGTGTTTTGTGGCAATACATCAAAACACGCCCACTCACCACATTCATCACATATCATCAACAATGTGTTTTGCATCTCATAAGTAAATTTCAGGTTTTGCGTCTTGGGGGCTGATTCGGGGGGGCGAGGCTCCGCCATCTTGTGGCGCCTGTGCACGGGGACAATTTTTTTTTGCCAGTATGGACATACAATAGGTCTTGATTTGCTTCATAATGGGCTTAAAAAGGTCTTAAAAAGTCTTAAATTTAACCTTAGTCTTAATTGAAACCTGCAGAAACTCTGAGCAAGTGTGATCAGTACTACACTGATTATCACAGAAAATAACATTTAATATCTAAACTGTCACAAAATACCTGCAAGAAACAGAGTTTATACAGATAACTGCCCAACAAAGGCATTTGGAGAGTGGATACAAGATTCCTGTCAATATGTTTACAGTCACAGATCTGATACGTATCAGTAGGGGGTTGCTACTGGCAACCGAATGTTAAACTGAAATCAATAATATAATTGCATTCAGCCATTCATATGTGACTTTTATATAATACCCAAGAGACCTACCTAGTGAAATAGCTGAATAGAGACAGACATACATTACAGAGTTAATCACAATCCCACATTCCCTCTGCTGTTGTTTTGCAGATGTTCTGTACGTGGCCACGTGTAACCCAGTGGCCCTGTACTCCATGAAGGAGAACGGGGAGACAATTCAGTGCGTGGAGCTTTACGACGTCTTCCCCAGGACCATCAGTGGTGTCTGGCAGCCCTTTGTGACCGTCGCTCCACTTGGGAGTCCTCTGGATGGACAAGTGGTGCTGCACGAGGAGCAGGTTGGCACACACACACGCACGGTCACAGAGCTTGTACCACTACATGATCACACTGATGAGATTATGTAAGATTAGATTTTTTTTTTCTTGGTCCCCATTGGAAAAATGTTGCTGTCTCAGGAGAGTCAGTGATCACTTTTTAAACGTGTTTGAACATGTATTTTTCACCAAAACTAATGGTGTGCATTTTTTAAGAATAAGGACCCTGCAGTTACTGCCCAATTAAAAATCAAACCCAAAATCAAAAATATTTTCCTCTTACCTGTAGTGCTATTTCTCCATCCAGATTGCTTTGGTGTGAGTTTTGGCGATATCGGCTGTAGAGATTAATAATCTTCCTTTTAAGAAAGTAGAGAGAAAAAGTTTTTACCACAGCAAAGATACTGAAAAGAAAATATGGTTGCGGTGGTTGTGGTGGTTGTGTTTGCGTCATTACCTTTTCTCATAGGAGAGGTAGTACTAGAGAAGTACTGTAAATGTCAGTTTTAATTGTTAGTTATGTGGAACACTGTGCAAGGACAATGTGGAGTGATGTGAAAATTGTAAGTATTATTGGTGCCATTTACTAAAACAGTCACACACTAACTGTCAGTGTTCACAAAGGAATTTTAGCCAAGTCTCTTTCGGTCTCCTGTCCTTGTTTACTGACTAGTATAACATGTAACGTGACACTTACGCAACACTGGTATTTAAACTGTTTTTTTGGAGGACAACCACAGATTCCTCACAGATTTAAAATAGCTGCACACAAGTCTGTTAGTTTCTTAAAATGGTCAGTGGTTAGTGGTTGTTTGCTGTCAAACCGCTCTCACCCCATAAGACCCGGGGCTGTGACAGCACAGTGTAGGACAAGAACAATGCATGTTAGCTATTTCTCCAACCAGAACACTTGTACAGCTGCTGCATATTAGGCAAGAGGAGGACTTCTAAAAATACCGCTGAGATGGATCATGTTATATCGGTCTAAAAATGAAGAGGTCCAGACAACTTGAAGTTCATTCACAGGTCATTGGCCTTCCAGGGAAATCAGGGAAACACACACGCAAACAAATGCAGGTTCACACATAAATGCATGCACATACAGTGTTAATGCTACTTTCAAAGACATGCAAAAACAGACTCAAAGACACCTGACAACCTGAGTGAAACACCCCAGCCTGTTAGAAGACACGTACATGTGTGCTTACACATGTACACCCTCCCTCCAAAGGCAGTGTATGTTTAGAATCAGGAAATGGGGTTTGCCTTCTCAGAATAGCTCAACTACAGTAGTGTGTATGTCAGGAATGGGAGGCCATAAGGAAACCATTAGTGTGAAGCGGGGCAGGCAGGCCGAGGCCAGGTCCCCTGTGGCTCCTTCTCATAAAACTCAATTGAAGATGAAGCCTAGTGCGTCACAAACGAAAGCCTTTTGCACAGTTCACCCAATACACACTACACACACACACACACACACACACACACACACACTGCTCATCTGATAAAAATGTAGGAAGCACACAAACACAGGACCACATACGGACTATATGTCTATCTACGTTCATAAAATGAACTTGCAGAGCAGTGTTCACATTAGTTGGTATTAACAGGACACCAGCCCTCAGATCTCATACCTGGAGAAGAGCAGTCTCTGCTGGCCATGGTAGAAATTATTCATTTTTGACATGTGACATAGTCACAGTCCAAATTAAAGATGGCAGTGTAACCCGTATAACCAATATTTAATTAAAATGAACTAACTGCATATAGAGGGTCAGTACAGCTTACTCATTGACTTGTACTGTTTGTTATTGTGAATGCACATTTGCAAACTAAGAAGATATGTATGAAAACATGGAGATAAGACGGTTCTGCAGCAGTAAGATCAAACAATAAGGAAATATCCACAGGCAGTGTTGTGGTTGCAGCGTTGTACTACATTTTGAAGTAGGTTGCTGGTTGGTTGTGTGAAAC